TCCTTCTTTCTCTCATTTAAAGCTTTTTCGTTTAATAGGTATGAGTGAGTGATTCACTTTTATCCAGATGGGTATGGAGAAGACGATTAGGTGTTCGTCCAATTACATTCCTCTCACGCCAACCAATTTCTTAAAACGATCTGCCATAATGTGGAAAGAATTGATCAAGTACTATATCTGCCATTATCAATTTTATTTTATCAAAAAAGATATAGAGAGAGTTTGAGCCATATCATTTTATCTAATCATAATATATGCATTCACATTCATTTAATGAAAACAAGTTGTTATTTATGAACTTTTTGTTGTTTCTGATACATTTTTTTTGCAACTGATATAAATGTTTTAGTGTAGATGTTGTTTATAAAATTTATGTTGTTATTTATGGAGTTTACGTTTTGCAAACTTTGCAATTAACTTGTGTGGATATTTGTGTGTATCATATCAACAAACCTTGTATTGTAAATATATGAATTTGTGTTGTTAACAAATGGATACTTTCATATTATATCCAGACCTTTTGTTCTTTATTAACTTGAGAAACTTTTTCAAATGTTCAGTTTAATCAACACAAATCATGTGAAATAGATAGACATTGTATTGTTAATAAATGGACCTTGTTATGTTATATATATATTTTTTATTATTCATAAACTTAAGAAACTTTTTGCTAAGCCTAGCCAACTGATAAACTGAACACACATGGGCTTTCAATTTAGAATATGTGAAGATTGTGTTGTGTATGGTGGATATTATGTTGTGCATTATTTGCTTACTTGCGCATTTTGTCAAGCCTAGCTTACTGATAAAGTAGAATCTAATAGACTTTTAGATGAGAATAAATGAATCTTATATCGTGCGTAATGGATATTGTGTTATGTATTGTTTGCCTATTTTTTCATTTTATCAAGCCTAGCCTACTGATAAAGTAAAATTGTATAGACTTTTAGTTGAGAATATATGAACCTTAAGTTGTGCATAGAGGATATTGTGTTGTGCATTGTTTGCTTACTTCTATATTTTGTCAAGCCTAGCTTACTGATAAAGTAGAATCTTATGGACTTTTAGTTGAGAATAAATGAACCTAATATGTGCATAATGAATATTGTGTTATGCATTGTTTGCCTATTTGTGCATTTTGTTAAGCCTAGCCTGCTGATAAAGTAGAATCGTGTGGACTTTTAGTTGAGAATATATAAACCTTATGTTGTGCATAGTGGATATTGTGTTGTGCATTGTTTGCTTACTTGTGTATTTTGTCAAGCCTAGCCTATTGATAAAGTAGAATTTTATAGACTTTTAGTTGAAAATAATGAACCTTATATTGTGCATAGTAGATATTGTATTTTGCATTGTTTACCTATTTGTGTATTTTGTTAAGCCTAGCCTACTGATAAAGTAGAATCATATGAACTTTTAGTTGAGAATATATGAACCTTATGTTGTGCATAGTGGATATTGTGTTGTGCATTGTTTGCTTACTTGTGTATTTTATCAAGCCTAGCCTATTGATAAAGTAGAATTTATAAACTTTTATTTGAAAATAAATGAACTTTATATTATGCATAATTGTGTATAGTGGATATTGTGTTGTGCATTGTTTGCTTACTGTGTATTTTGTCAAGCCTAGCCTATTGATAAAGTAGAATTTTATAGACTTTTAGTTGAAAATAAATGAACCTTATATTGTGCATAGTAGATATTGTATTTTGCATTGTTTACCTATTTGTGTATTTTGTTAAGCCTAGCCTACTGATAAAGTAGAATCATATGAACTTTTAGTTGAGAATATATGAACCTTATGTTGTGCATAGTGGATATTGTGTTGTGCATTGTTTGCTTACTTGTGTATTTTGTCAAGCCTAGCCTATTGATAAGTAGAATTTTATAAACTTTTATTTGAAATAAATGAACTTTATATTATGCATAATAGATATTGTATTATGTATTGTTTACCTATTTGTGCATTTGTTAAGCTTAGCCTACTGATAAAGTAGAATTGTATAAACTTTTAGTTGAGAATATATGAACCTTATGTTGTGCATAGTGGATATTGTGTTGTGCATTGTTTGCTTACTTTGGTATTTTTCAAACCTAACCTATTGATAAAGTAGAATCTTATGAATTTTTAGTTGAAAATAAATGAATCTTATATTGTGCATAGTGAATATTGTATCATGCGTTATTTGCCTAACTTCAGTATTTTGTTAACCCTAGCATAATGATAAATTGGAATTACATGGACTTTCAGGTGAAAAATATATCACAACTTTTTTTTTGCAATTGTCTTTAACTAGCTGTCCTCTCAGGAGGCTACGAACAAGAAGGATAGAGTTTTCTAATATAAGAAAATTTATCATTGTTCAAGATGTAGGAGGGCTGGAAATAGTCGCAAGACATGCAAGAATCCTAACGCAGCATGAGAAGTGGTTACATTGTACTTCTTTAGTGTACACAAGTAACTATAATTATGTATATGAAAACATTTCTAAATAATATTTTTTGGATAAGTGAGAATCACAAAAAATTTTTGTTTGTATTTGTAAAAGTAACTGTTAGATATTTTGGATATAGTTGCTAACTTTTTGTATATATTAGACTTGAAATATTGTGTCAAATTTCATGTGGGTACTTGTTAGTACCTAGGCTAATACCAACATGAAATTATTCATATATGATGTAATTGTCCTTCTTAATATTGAAAATGCATAGACTTTTGTTGAGCATGTGTGGACATCGTCTTGTGCATAGTGGATGTTGTGTCGTGCATGGTTTGCCTAACATCATTTTGTTATAGTCTAAGCTAGTGAAATACTGAAAATGTATGATTTTTTAGCACACGTGGACATCGTATTATGCATAGTGGATATTGTATCATGCATGATTTGCCTAGTCATTTTTGCTAAAGCCAAGGCTAGTTAACTACTTGAAATACATGGACTTTCTGTTGAGATGCGTGGATATTGTCTTGTGCATAGTAGATATTATATCGTGAATGATCTATTTCGTTGTTTTGAGAGTTCAAGCAAGTTTTGAATTTAAATCAAACAAAGGGCAAAATCGTATTTTTGGTCTCAAGAAAATTGGCAATAAGGGCCTTAAGGCCTGTAGAGTAATATCAGATTCATTTAAGCTCAAATTGCAATAAAGTCTATTCTTAAAGCCCTTAATGCCATTCCCCCTTGAAATTATGCTGAATCTGGAAAGGGCGTGGCTTTTGATTAGGCACCCAAATTCATCAAATTATAAAATATTAATGGACAATTGTTTAAATTATCTGACATTAAATTTTTTTAAATGATTTTGGAATGAAACAATAAAATAAAAGTGAAAAACAAAATTGCTTTGCCTTTTGGGGGTGGGGAGGGAGGGGAGAAGCTCCATAAAAATTCTCCCGCTTTAGCTAGTCTCAACATTTTAAAGCCCTAAATTCAATGAAGTATTTATGGGCAGAAAGTAAAAACATATATGCTCTCTCCATTTAAAAATGTAAAATATTTTTAACTGAATTTTATCTTCTATTAAAATAGTTACTTACTTTTAAACTAATCCTATTTTCTATAATTTATTTCTATTAAACACCCTATAATAAATATAAAGTCATTTATCAATAAGGCACTTTTAAAAAAATGTAATAATTACACCTCAAAAGACTAAAAATATTTTATATTTTTGAATAAAAAATATTTCTTAAAAAATTCCTTACATTTTTTTATGAAGAAAATATATTCTATTATTATTATTATTATAAAAAACCAAGGTACTGAAAACTGGACCGGTCATTGAACAGTCAAGCCAACAGGTTACAAGTTATTGATTAATCTCAGTTAAATTGGGAGTCAACCCAGAGGGCAAACCGATCATGATTAAAATAATATAATTTAATAAAAAAGACATCAATTATAAAAATATTCAATCAAATTCAAGATTAGTCTCTAAAACAAGATACAAATACAACAATAATTATAGAATTATAACCACTTAAAAATCTAACAATAATAAAATACAACTTTCTAAATATTCATCCTATAACTACAATTTGCAACCCTTCAATCATTAAAAAATTCAAAACCAATCATCACTAACACTAAAATTATCAACAATGACAGTCATAATTTATAAATACTAAGCAACAGTTAGACAAATGAGCAGCAACAAATAATGAAAGATTAAAATAATTAAGACACAATTAATTTAAAAAAAATACCGAATCTTTTAAATTCAAACTTACAATTAAAGCCTTCTATTTGAAGTTTAAATTACAAACAGTGAAATGTAATTTAATTGTCTTGCCCTCCATTGCCTTACTTTTTTAATTTTCAAACTGAATTTTTATTTTATTTAGTTTTTACAATTTTAAAAAAGAAAAATTAAAAAAATGACCCAACTGACCCAACAACCTAGCTTTTGATTATCTCAGGTTGGCCTCGGGTCAATTGGGTCACATTGAGTCAGTAGATAGCCGGTTTAAGTGAAAATCTAGACTGAAAAAGAAACCAAATCACCAATTCACAGGCTAAACTGGTCAGTCTGGTCTAGGTTTTTATACTATTATATTAACCAAGAGCCATCCAAGTACATACATGTGTCCTATTATTTGCTGCAATTAATTTATCATTCTCGATCTGGCCTGGAGCATAATGTTCGTTATGGTGTGGTCCAGGAAATAAATTTAAGATCAGAAATTAGGCATTTGTTTGGCCTTTTCTCAAAGAATAATTTTGCAGAGAGAAACCTCATCTAGGTTGGATAACTTTGGTAATGAAATAATCCTAACTTGACATATACTGTAAGTTTTTTTAAAAAAAAAAATTCAAATCATCATATTCATGGCTTTTCTTTTTTGCACGACTTCACATAATTTAGAATTAAGAATTAGAAATCGAAATGCATAAATTTGTCAACTCCATCTTCGCCAATTGTATTCAAACTCTATTCTTGTGATCAAAATCATCCTTTAGATTACTTTTACAGTGAAGAAGAGACCATACTCCAGGACTAGAGTATTTGTGAGATTCAAGTGAATCAAGCGTGGCAGAATAAGATTCCATAAACTATGGAGTGCTTGTCTAGTTTATTTTCTACTCCTCTTACTTCTATTCTCCTGTTTCTTGACCCTCAGATCTGATTTTTGATCTTAATTAAAATGTGAACCCTTAAACAAGAGTGCGCGCGCGTGTAATTACATGATATTTGATGAATCCAAATACACTCAAAAGTACTTCTCTGAGTATGAATTGGGACATATCTTTAGAGATACGTGAGATTCCGGATTTCGTGCATATAGCGATTTAAATATTTAGAGGTTTCTCTCCTAAATGATGTTACTTCAATTTTGGCTTCACGTATGGACGTGGATGTATCGTACATGGTGGAGGCCAGTCGTACAACAGCTTTAAGCCAGCCGCAGTCACAGAAAGGGCGAACATTCAAAAGAAGACGATGTACGTTCGTGCCTGCAATCATGTCAACAAAGGAGACATGAAATGAAATTCTGATTCAATGACGGCTACTGAACGCAATGGTACCATGTTAGTGGCCTGAAGCATCACTCGATCTGTATTTGTTCAATGTATTTGTAGCTTCCTCACCTCTGTTTTTAACCAGCGACTATTGTTATTACTTTCTCAGTAACCCCGGAATTTTTGTCAGTTTTTAAGATTTTTCGTCCCTGTAGTCGATTTTCAGATCGAAGGCCTAGGTTATATCAATTGATCTTTTTAATTAAAGATTAAGATTTAGCCTAGATGATAATATGTTGATTGTGCCTCTGGTAGTCTGGTCGCTGCTTATTGATCCCTCAACGGGATGATAAATATGTTGCTGCTGCTTTGTTCTATCTGATTCTCTAACATTCTACTATTTTAGTCACTGATGGAATATTCTATCAATTTATTAGGCGGAATCATGAATATTTCAAATCAGAAAAATCCTTGAGCAGGGAAAAAAAAAAGGCTTTAGATTTCTCTATCCATGGAGACTTGGATTTTAACGCTAACAACAGCATGGCACATCATGCGCGCGTCTCTCCATTCTCATGTAACTTACCTTTCTTAATACTCAAAAAGCTTTTAATATTGTTTAATCTTTGAAGTTACCGTTTAACTTGTATTCGAACTCAGATGCTTCACCTTGCTTCTTTGTTTGACGTCAATTAAATGAAATGGACGCTTTCGCAGTTGAAAATTTATCGATCTTACCTTCACAAATAGTGTGCTAGCCTCGTCTCCACTTTCTATCTGTGGTCCCTCTTTCGTCATACTTTATGGGGTTTGTTAATTTCCACAAATAGCAAGGATAAAGGGTATTGCGTTACATGAATCTGCACTTGCACAGAAAAGAAAATAAGATCGAAATGATTAGTAATTGCCATGGCTTTACAGCTGTCCTTGATATTGTCTTCTTGTAATTTACTCTGTGATTGCTTAGCATCCATTCATTTTAGAGTCAAATGCCAGCTCTTGTTTTGATCAATAAAAGGTCGTTCCTATTTTGTGTGGTCAGTCTTGGATGTGATTGTACGCAATATTCTACGTTTGGTTATCTAATTTTCTTGCATTTTCGTCGCTAGTCTCATCAGTTTCGGTGTCCGTTGATGTACCAGCCGATGATCTTAAGGCTTATTTTCCGTTACTAGCTTATTGCCCATTTGGTTTTTTTTATGTAAGTTTCAGGTTGATTTTTATTATTACCTAGCTGCTTGATTGAGTTTGCAGTAATTATCATTAGTATAAACATATCGAAACTCTCTGGATGATTTATCTTTCAGAAATTGCCATTTTAAGCGTTCTCGTGAAAACGACATTTGGTGTGGATGGTTATCGAAATTTCAATAAAATAAAAAATCTGTTGTGTTTTATTATCACAAAAAATTGTGAGTGAGGACCAGTAGTATCCGATTTCTTGGACAAGTTGCAGTCCCGGATGTCTTCCCAATACGGACGCAAATTCTCTGTCCTACCTTGTAGGTCCTGATGTGGATGATCCCTCTACTGGGCATTCAATAACTCCATTTTTGTTCGGTTATAGTCAGATAAGAAAACCTCTTATAAATTTCAATGTCATTGGCTTCTTCCATGTTGGGGCTTGCTTTCAGAGTCTAGCACTGTACATAACCTTTTTGAAGTTCTGTGGGAATTTTCTGACCTTAGGCCATGAAAACAAAGAGAGGAAAACGCTCCGAGGTGTGATTTAATGCACTTTTGAAACTTACCTTTACTTGGTTGTTTGTGTTTATGAAACCTAGGGTGCTTGAAACTTCCTATTTTAATTTCATTGCAGCCATTTTGGCCTTCCATTGTGATGAAGAAATGGTTAAATATAAAGCCCAAGGTGTACGATTTTAGTGAAGATGAAGTGGAGACTGAAACAGAGAGTGAAGATGATGGTGAGCTCTGAGTTCTGCTCTAATTTTTTGCAGGCTAACTTGATCATATTCTTATATTTTTCCTTTATTTCGTTCGGAAATTTCATCCAGCTTACTCCCTTAAAGACTCAAGAATGTATGTGCGAGAAGACATTCCGCATAGAAGGCAAGAGAGTCAATCCATACTTCCAAGTCAAAAGCAAACGTCAGGTAACATCTGATTCTGATTCTAGTTCCTTTTCAATAATCTAGTTCCTTTCCTTTTAGGGGAGAAATAATAAATATTAATTTCATGTTTGAAACTGTGTGCCTCTACGGGGTCTTTTATCTTATCTCCTTGCATTGCTTACTCTGGATTCTCTAGTTATAAGATTATTTACATTATTTATAATTATAATGGTAGCTTGTTATAACTCAAACATCTAGAGATAGCAGCTCATTGCAGTTAGCATGACTTAGTTTGTATCGAGAGTCAAAATTGGCCAACTTATGCTTGGGAATTTCATGTTTCCATTAAATATAATAATATGAAGGGAAAAGGACTTCCAAGGTAATATAGCATATTGGAAGGCTGTTATGCTTTGATGGAGAGAAAAGTGAGGGGGGAGAGAAAAGTAGGAAGGAAAATAATTTTTTTTTCCTGCTTGGCTGCAGAGAAAAAAGTGGAGAGGGGAGAAAAGTGAAAGAAAAATAACATATGAGACCCACATATTTTTACCTTCAACTTTTCTCTCCAAATATAGAGAGATTTTGAAAAGAAAATTTCACTTTCAAATTTACCCATCAATTTTTTTGTAACTATCCCTTGCTTTCCTTTATTTTTATTATGATATCTATAGTGTGTTTACATTTTGATCATGAACTTTTATTAAACAAGCAATATATTTAATTTTTAGACTAATTAAACAAATAATAATTCTAAATTTTCAAAATAATTTTCAGTTAAGTACCTTATATTTGATTGTAGTTTCAAATTTTAAGATTGTTATGTATTAAAATAATTTTTAATTATGTTCTTGTTCAGTCAATAACATATGATAAAAATTATTATATATATAATATGTTAAAATATTAAATTTTATTATATAAATATTTTTACAAATAATAAGGTTATTGTTGTATTCATATAAAATTAATAATTTTTCTCAGTCAGCTAAGCGTAATGAGAAAAAATTGTATCCCTCCCATTTTTTCTTCTCTTTATTTTTTCTCCTCCCATTTTCTCTCCTTTCTATTTTCCTCTGCAAGCCAAGCACAGCATAAGCATTTTTTTTCAATATGCATTTTTTTTACCTTGTATTTTTCAATATACTCTCTCCAATCTTATTTGTAGGACACTTTCTAGAAAAAAATTTTGGTCTAAAATGTAAGACACTTTATAATAATTAAATCACTTTTTTTAATTTTATCATTTTTGATTAGCGTGAAGGTATTTAATATAATTGTATTATTATTTAAAGTCAAAAGTAAAGATGAAAATACATCTCTTTTTTTTTTATATGATATTAAGAGGGGAAAAAAAAGCTAACTTTTTTAAAGATGTATAAAATAGTTAAAAGTGTTCTATAATAAGGATCACAGAAAATATGTTAAAGCAAGCAAGGAGCATATGAACCCGTATGACTATAGGCAACCAGTGTGATTAATTTTCTGAATTTCAAGAGATTAAATGTTTATTACACCTGATGAGTTTAGACTTTAGAGTGTTATAATCAAAGACAGTTCTGATTTCAGATACATCTTCCAAGGGCAACAAGAGGAGACACCGAAGAGGAAAGTCAGAAACTATGCGAGTTCAGTACATAAATACAAAGGAAGTGAGGTGTGCCGGTTATCTGGTTACAATACCATGTCATACCCGACACAATAATTTACCGATAAAACTAACGAAATACACCATCAAATCTGGTTATTTTACAGAGTAGCAATTGGCACTTGGAATGTCGCTGGAAGATTTCCACGGGAGGATCTTGAGATTGATGTCTGGCTTTGTACCGAAGAACCAGCAGATATTTACATTCTTGGGTAACTTGTTTCTCAAGTTGCTTCGCCCTTCACCATTTTTGCTTTGTTGTTTTTTATTTGCCAAAAGTAAATGAAAATAAATATTTAAAATTTTCTTCTTGAAAATCTCATCAACTTAATTCTTCATCTGCACCCATTTTATACATCAATGACAATTGTATGTTAACAAAATTTTGAAGTAGCACATGTTACTTATCATCTATATTGAGAGGTTATATGGGGATTTTCTCTTACTATCTTGCTGATGATAAAGTAGTTGGATTTTCCTATTGGTTAACTATACTAAGTAAAACTAATTAATAATGTTAGGATTTTTAACGAACCACCTATAAGTTGTAGGGACTCTAGGCGTATGCTGGTTTGTGTGTAACTGTACGGTTCTAACCATGGCCTTGTCAATTAAAAAAAAAAAAAAGAAAGAAAGAAAAAGTAAACTAATAAAGAGCGTCTTTTCTTCATCTTATCTGGTTTTGTATTACTTTGCATTGCTAGCTATTTACTGGATCAGTCTATGAAAGAGACCTGCCAGTGCAATGTTCGACATACACGTCAAGAAGAAAGTGGATACTCAGCATTCTGTAAGCCCAATGGTTTTTAATTGAGATATTAAATCACATTGGAATCATCTCAGAGAATGGATTTAAATGGTCCAAAGTTATGCTTCCACACATCTAACCTACTGCTTATTAAGCCTGATAGATTGAGTTGTTTGTAGACAGCCTTAATTGCAGTTACTACAATTTTAAGATTCCACATCTCTAATATGGTTGTGAAATTCGTCTTCTGAGGATGTTCATTTTTTGACAGTTTCCAGGAAGTTGTCCCATTGAATGCGGGAAACGTTCTGGGAGCCGAGGATAATACACCCATCTCAAAATGGGAGGCAATTATTAGAAGAACTCTGAACAAATATTCAGAACCAGAAAGTAAGTACAAATGCCTCAGTGCTCCTGCTTCCCCGGTACAAAATACATATATAGGAACTGTTGACAGTTCTGAGCAGGAACAGCAAGAACTGAAAGAAGTACTATTTGAGATAGACCAGAATCTTGAGTCATATGAAATGTGTGGCATTGATCATCAGACTAAATTTGATTGGCCTGAACGTCCATTAGATGCAGTCCCCCAAATAGTTGTTAATTCAGATTCAAAATTGCGAAAAGTGCTAAGCAGCTCAGCAAGAATTGGATTTAACGAGGGAGAGAATGATTTAGTGTATGGCAATGGAATGGAACGTTCACGCCACAGTTCTGAAAACCTTTGTTCGATGTGGAATGTGCAGCAACTCATTCCCGAAGTGGTCGATTCCCTATCTAATGCCTGTGACACGATTTCCAATGAAGAAAATGACACTCTTGATGAATTTCCAAGGAAACTAGAGGATAATAGCATATACACAATGAAATCGTCATGTCTTAAGTATGTAAGGATTGTTAGCAAACAGATGGTAGGGATTCATGTATCAGTTTGGGCACAGAGTAGTCTAAGAAAGTACGTTAATAACTTGAAAGTTTCCCCTGTTGGAGTTGGCCTTATGGGCTACATGGGAAACAAGGTATGCATTACTCAAACTCTCACTAGAGTATGAACACACACACACAAACCGGAGGGGCAAAGTGCATCTCACGAGTAAGAATGCTTGTTTTTTAATCATATATTCCTTCAAGATCATGAATGCATGCAAAGTGCATCTTGTTCATCCATAATTCATGTCGCTTGATCTGGTTTCGACTCGGAAATGCACTACGAGATAGAAATAGTGGAAAATCACACTCAGACAGCATGTGTTTGCTATAATTCATCATTAATAGTTTTCTTTTGTTTCTTTCTTTGTTTTCGGTCATAAGCGTGAATAGTGTACTATCATGATATGGATGCGTTTTTAGAATCTAGTATTTGGAGGGAAATCCTGTTGAGTGGGGTTATAACTGAATTTAACAGAAGAAAGTACATCTAGGGCAAAATGTCTCATTTGAAATCTAATTCTCCTTTCAACAGTCAAATTTTCTGGTTCGGGGATTTAAATTATCGTATCAATATGTGGGATGAGGAGGTGAGAAAACTGGTGGCTCTGAAGAAATGGGATGAACTGATGAAGAATGACCAGGTGAGACTCACGAAACCTCGACTCTGCATAATATGAGTCATGCGCGTGATTTCACATAAGTCTAAAGCTGAAGGACAGTTCCCTTGCAATTTTTTTTGTTTTTATGTTTGTCGGCATAGTTTTCTTGCAATTGACCTTATATTCTTGACATATTTGTAATATGATTTGAATTAGATTTAGATAAAGTCGTTCTAGGTATCCAACTCTCAAATGTGAGGGATAACAAGATATCTACTACGTTTTCGTGGAGTCTACCATTTAAGCAAGATTTACTACTCTAGCAGCTAAAGAGCGTTTGTCTATTTTTCAAAGGCTAAAATATGCAAATTCCCCTCAATTTTAAATCATTGCACAGAACCCTCTCGTTGTTAAGGATATTAAAAAGAAAACAAGAAATATTAAAAGTTATCCTGACTTAAAATTTTCATGATAATTTATCGATGTGAAAAGAAATTTAATTTCAATTATTTATATTTAAAATATTTAAATTAAACTATGATCATATTTCATATTTTAATTATCTAATTATATATTTTTAATAATCATTTATTACTAAAACTAAATTGTTACGAGCTTATACATTTTTTATAAGTTTAATTAAAGTGGCTAGTGGCAAGTTTGACAACCTTTCTCTTTACCAACATGTAATGTAGGGTAAAGACTAAAGAGGGAAATTTGACATAAAAATTTAATAATTTAACTTATACATAAAATTAAAAAAAAAAAATTCTGTCCTATAAATGGGACAGGAGGGATATAATGTTTTCTTTTCTGTAGCTGCTTTTATGTCTAAATTAGACGATTCTACTTATTTGTATCCTATTTTCTGAAGGGTTAGAAGTTTCCGCACAGAATTTTCTAATTTCTTGGTCTCTCTGCAGCTAAGCAAAGAACTGCGAAGTGGGCATGTATTCGATGGATGGAAAGAGGGATTGATAAACTTCCCACCCACTTATAAATATGAGATTAATTCAAATAGATATGTTGGTGATAACCCAAAAGGAAAGAAGAGATCCCCAGCTTGGTACCAAAAAAATACTAGACTCTCATTATCCTTTTACTTTCAAACTTTGAATATATCATAAATATGTATTTATTCTTGTAACTGTAGAAAATCCATATAGATGTGCAAGGGGGTGGGATGTGGGTTAGAAAAAGTAATTCTAGATTTCACCAATGCAGGTGTGATCGTATATTGTGGCGAGGTAGAGGAATACGACAACTTTCATACGGGCGCGCTGAAATAAACCTTTCAGATCATCGACCAGTTAGTTCTATCTTCTCTGTTGAAGTTGAAGTATTTGACCATCGCAAGCTCCGGAGAGCTCTTAATTTCACTTGAGCAAACGTATACCCTGAGGTTTTTCCTCGATGAAGTTGGGGATTTGTGACACTCTTACTGCGGATATGCTTCACCTTTCTTTGATAGAAACATTGGTTCACACCAAACAGGTTTCCAGTCAAACATGAGAAACCCTTCTCTATGAAGAAGCCCACTGTTCAGATGAGTTTTTTTTTATTCCAAAACACAAAAACAGCAATGATCACTTAAATATGTACTCGCGCGTGATTTTCCTCCGGTGAAGACAGTAGGATGCAAGATTCAAAAGCAATAATTCCGATGCTTGGGCTGTCTGCCTCGGCAATAATTCCGACAGGGAGCTTGAAGCCGAAAGCACAAGGACGCACAATGTAGGCTTTCTTAATTGGGCTGTTTCCCTCAGTTCTTGTAAAGCCCTTTACTGTCAGCAAAATTTTTACACAAGCTATACATTAGAATGGATACTTGCTACCATTCTATTTTTGTTTGGAAGTTATTCCCATGTTCAGCTGTTTTAGTACGCCTTCCGGACAGATTTTGCCTTGACAGGAGCAGATTTTACACTTCAATGCTCTCTCTATAAGCTTGTTCTAATGCAAACATTTCATATTGAATTTGTTATAATCACCTCTTTTCTCAATACCTCAAGGGTGTTAAAATCATTACCAATAGACTTCTAAAAATGTACTATTAAATTTGTTGACCGACGGACCATTGTCACTTGCTATTCCAATGAAAAATATGAATAACTAATCAACTGTAATTCACTGCCAAAATACTATGCTATGAATAATAATTAATCGGATTAAATAATTGGGTAATATCCGAAGCCATCTAGGTATGGAACAGGAGAAGAAGCGTTCCCTACCCTCAAACTAATTCGTGTTAATATGCGCCTTTGTCTGAACCAGAATGGTGTCGTGTTTCACCTTCTGGTTATTCTAAGGCGATGGCAGCACATGGAATTACAACTTTCACTGTCCATCGGGGAAACCGGAAACTATATTCCAGTTCCTGCATTCAGATAATAAAATCATGCCAAATAATGCAACTTTAAATTAGAAATAGAACTTATTAGATCCCTTCAATGAATATAGATGAGTTCTGAATAGAATGTTAAAGGCTGCTTGAGGGGCAACTAAGGCGAGAAAAACAGAGCCCCTTCAAAAGGCCTCTAAAAGGGTCCAATCATCCAAAACGGATGACTCGGACTTGTTTTATGTGTGCCTCCTAACTAAACCACAAATGAAATCTCAACGTCAAATTCATGTGGCTACTCAAAGAGGCAGCAAAAAACACCATACCTATCAAAGTATCAACACAAGTATACAAACAAAAGTTCTGTCATCATCAAGATTATAACACAGTGTGACATAACTAGGGGCTAACAAATAGACCTTGTAATCTAACAAGAGACTATGCAGCCATTTAAATTGAAATGGGGTACTTTAGATGAGACAACCATATAGGAAAGAATGAAGAAAATAAAATTCAGCTGCTGAAGAAGAAATCCATTAATGGTGCATAGCTGAAAACCTTTAAATAAGAGCACCTTCACTTACTTGCTATATGCGGGTTAATTAAGATCCAAGTAGCATTAATCATTAATAAACTAATCTAAGAGACCGAAATAATGATATAACACAAACAAGTAAATCACTATTATTACAAAAAACTAAGGAGAGATTGAATAAAAAAAATTCATGCAGAGGGTAGAATATCAGACATTCCTCACTTCACTGGCAGACGTCTTTTTGGAAAAGAGAAAACAGAACACTGACCAACGCAAATTCAAGCATATAGATATTAAAAAAAAAAGCAATCAAAATAAAAAATCATCAATGTAAGAAGCAATCAGCAAAACAAAACAATGATGGCTATGAAGTTACGAGCATCAGGTCTCCAAGGTGAGATAGCATCAATGGTTATTCAGACGCAAATTACCCATTTGTTAAGTTTAAGATTCATCACGCGCCCGTAATTTTTTTTCCATTTTAAATTACAAAATCCATGCATGTTAGGTATTAATCCTCAACAGCTGAATTTTACGTCTCCCAAAAAAAAAATCTAGACCTGATATCAAGAGGGAGGGAGGGGCTACAGACGATGAAAAGAAGATCCTGGAGGGAATAAAAGTAGCGATCAGAACCTGTCGGGATTCATTGTGACATCACACTAATATCAGTGGATTGACAGACAAATGAATTGCTATAATCACTTCGCTTTTCCCCCACAATCAAACCTACTTAATCTACAAAACCATATGAAGGATCGATTTCGAGGAAAATATTGAGCCCGGAGCTTCTTAGTGGATGCATCCGCCATCAGCGACGAGATCTGATCAGATCCGCCTCAGGCACAATTGCTTCATCATAGACTCAATTTTTTCTCTTAAGTTTTGAATCAGCCCTCCAGAGGAAGGGAAAATGAACTCACCAAATCACAAGAAAATACTTAAAACTACAAGAGTAACACTAACAGATTAGCCTTTCGTTACCAGCGATTACGGTGACAGCGGCATGTTCCCGGCAATTTATAGATACAGCGTAGGGTTATTCACCAGAAAATTTAGGGTTCGGAGCGTTTGCTTGTTTTTTTTTTTTTTTTTTCTTGTGGGGAAAAAATTGCATACGGGAGACATACAAAGCTTGACCCAAAGCGGCCTATCTTAGGCCCAAGTATCCTCAATAAATAAACAAATTTAAGTTATTAAAATTTGACCAACCCATAGGTTTACAATATATTAAATTTTATATAAATTATTTTTTATTTATTTTATTGTAGTTATAAACTAGACATGTTAAATTTTAGCAATTTAAATTTATTTGTTATTTTTTAATTAAAATTTATATGTCGACAAGTAGTAATACCAAGGATTAGGTGGTACAATTAAAAAGTGAGAAGTAAGATATTTTCAAGCAAAATCTTTTGAATAAAGAAATTTGGGAATCTCAGGGAAGTGCTAACATCATATGGAAGGATATGGCTAAAAAAATACGGGAGGTTGCAAAAGTAGTTTTGGGAGAATCGAAAGGTTTTGGTCCGAGAGATAAGGAGTCTTGGTGGTGGAATAATAGTGTACAGGACAAAATCAAGTATAAGAAGAACTGTTTTAAAGCCATATATTTGTGTAACAATGAAAAAAATTGGGAGAGGTACCGTATAGCTAAGAAAGAAACTAAGAGAGCTGTGGGTGAAGCTTGTTCTAAAGCTTTTGAAGAATTTTATAAGAACCTTGAGACGAAGGAAGGAGAGCAAAATATTTATAAGATTGCCAAGAGTAGGGAAAGAAAATCAAGAGATCTAGAACAGGTAAGGTGTATTAAGGATGAAGAGGGAAGAATTTTAATTACAGATGATGAAATTAAAAATAGATGGGAGACTTACTTTTCTAAACTTTTCAATGATGGAGAGGATTCATCTAGTAACTTGGAGGATTTAGTAACCGGTGAAGGAGAACAAAATTTGCCATTCTATCGAATAATACGTGATAAGGAGGTAAAGGAAGCTCTTAAGAAAATGGCAAATGGCAGAGCCAACGGACCTGATTGTATATCTATCGAAGCGTGGAAATGTTTAGGTGAAGAAGGGGTGAGATAGTTAACTAAGTTATTTAATGTGATTTTACGGTCCAAGAAAATGCCTGATGAGTGGAGGAGAAGTATATTAATTCCTATTTATAAAAATAAAGGAGATATTCAGAATTGTACTAACTATAGAGGGATTAAACTCATGAGCCACACAATGAAATTGTAGGAGAAAGTAATTGAGCACAGGTTGAGATTGGAGACAAGTATTTCTGAGAATCAATTTGGTTTTATGCTAGGTAGATCAACTACAGAGGCGATTTATCTACTAAGGGGATTAATGGAAAAGTATCGTTGTAAAGATAAAGATCTACACATAGTTTTTATTGATTTGGAAAAAGCTTATGACCGTATACCAAGAGAAGTGCTTTGGAAAGCGTTGGAAAAAAAGGGAGTATGGATTGCTTATATTAAAGCCATACAAGATATGTATGAGGGGGTAAAAACTAGTATAAGAACGCCTAGTGGTCAAACAAAGGATTTTCCTATAAAGATTGGACTACATCAGGGATCATCTCTGAGTCCTTATTTGTTCAACTTGATTTTAAATGTTTTGACGGAACATATTCAAGAGGAAATCCCGAAATGTATACTCTTCACGGATGATATAGTTTTTATAGCAAAGACAAGAGAAGAGGTTAATTGCAAACTTGAGTTATAGAGGAGAACATTGGAGTCGAAAGGTTTTCGTCTGAGTAGAAGTAAGACGGAATATTTATATTGTAAATTTGGTAAAGGACTATTCGACAATAATTTGGAAGTGAAATTGGAAGATCAAATTATACCTCAAGTGAAAAAGTTTAGATATTTGGGAGCCATTATTCAAAATGATGGCGAAATCAGTGGAGATATTTCACATAGAATTCAAGCTGGGTGGTTTAATTGGAGAAAAGTTAAAGGAGTTATTTGTGACCATAAGGTGCCTAATAAACTTAAAGGAAAGTTTTATTGCACTGCTATCAGACCGGCAATGTTATATAGTAGTGAATGTTGGGCTCTAACAGGACAGCAAGAGCATAAAGTTGGAGTAACAGAGATGAGAATGTTACGATGGATGTGCGGACATACACGTAAAGATAAAATTCGAAATGAGCACATACGCGAAAAAGTGAGGGTGGCACCTATTGAGGAAAAAATGGTAGAAAATCGGTTGAGATGGTTTGGGCATGTACAAAGAAGACCAAGGGAGGCACCAGTGAGAAGAGTGGAACATATAACTTTGAGTCCGATTAAGAGAGGTAGAGGAAGGCCTAAGAGAACACTCTTGGAAGTTGTTAAACGTGATCTCTTAATTAATAATATTTCTAAAAGCTTGATAAACGATAAAGCACAATGGCGTCTTGCAATCCATGTAGCCGACCCTACCTAGTGGGATAAAGGCTTGTTGTTGTTGTTGTTGTTGTTTTTTATTATTATAATAATTGTTTTATAGATGATATGAGGAGAAGAAAATGAAAAAGACGGATGAGGAAAGGATCCATATAAGGTCATACTTACCAAGTAATTTTTAGATTAAAGCATCGGGGCCACATACAAAGGTTATTTTTTAATTTAGTTTATAATAAAATTATTTTTTCAGTTTTTTTTTCAACATATGAAATATTTTTATTTAATTCCTTACAAAATTGAATTGTTAATTTTTTTTCTTATATATAAGTACTTGTTAATTATTTTAAAATAATAAGAAAACCATAGCTTTGGATCCCTGCACTTTATGAGTTTTTGTTATAAGTTTCTATATTTTTTTTAGTATTTTAGGTCTCTACACTTTTATTTTTTTAATATTCTAAATCCCTACACTTTTTTTTAATATTTTAGGTCCCTATACTTTATTCAAAAAAAAACAAAAGTATAGAAATTTAAAACATTAAAAAAAGTGCAAGGACATAACAAAATGCAGAATCTCAAAGTTATATTTTCTCAAGATAATATCTATAGCAAGATGTGGAAGTTGAGATTGCAAATTTAATTGTTTCAAACAAAATTACTCAAGGAAAGTAAGAAATTAATTTATATTATTATAATATTGAACTTTATTTTTTAAAAAAATAAGGTTTATAGGCCCGCCTTTGAATACTTTAAATAAGGGCTAAATTTCAAAAAATGATTAATTTTAAAGAAACCAAACTTATGGGCCTGAACCTATAAGGGCCAAGTATACATGAACTCAACTAACTTATTTCCTAACTCTATCAATCTTTTTCAAACTTTTTTAAGTGTTTTGCAAAAGGAAATGAGTACATGTTAGACATGAGTAAAACTATTTAAAACAAAATTACATGATCAAGAAACAATCTATGAGAACCCATAACCAAGAAAATGGTGCGATGATAATACAAGAAATTTTAGACTTGTATTTGAATG